ATTCGCTTTTTTTTTTTTGTTCTTTTTGCTTTTTCAAATAGAAGAATGTGGTGATTTGAATCTTCCCCCTCCAAAACCGTTACGTCCCTGTTTGCCATGATAGATGGTTTGAATATGATCAGTGAGTTCACGTAAAAATTAAGGGCAAGTTTAACAGCGATTTTCGCATGAAATCATTCTCATGAATCTTTGGATTTTTTGCGGTCAATCACATTTTTTACCAAAAAAAATTAAGAGAAATTATTTTAATTTTTAAAATTGTCTTTCTATTAACCTTACTTCCACTATAAATTTTGAGTCCTTTCTTTTCTAGTGGTTTTTTACTCTCTAACTTTATTTATCTTTCGTTTTTGTTTGATCTATCTAATTTTTTTCTTTAAAATTTGTTCTCAACCAAATGTTAAAATAATTTTATAAATCACGTTCATAAAATTAATTATCATTAAATTTCTTTGTCTAAGTTCAGTTATTTTAAAATTATTTTTAAACCATCGTAGTCGTAAACCAACTAAGAGAGGAAAAGTCACTTTCTTATGAAGTAATTAATTTTTTAATAATTTAATTATTTCTCTAAATTTATGTTCATTCATAAAGTATTATCATATTATATAAACTGACGTAAGTTTATGATTATCCACATCTCTATTAAAAAAAAATTATATAATTGAAAAAGAAACTGCTATGAAACTTTTTAAGTAACGATGATTAGATCGTAAAACATCAAAATGTCTGGGACTATAACATATATTTAGCAAAAAAATTTTTTGCTTATTTCATTCTCATCCCACAATTTCTACATATTTTATTTTATTTTTTAAAATTTCTATATTTTCAACAAGAAAGTATTTAAGTTACACAAATATCACATAAAAGTATGATATATATAATTATATATATATATAGTGAGTTTAGTATAAAATTTGAAAATAAATGTTTTGAATTTGAATAGAAATTTAAAATACAAAATATTATATGCTAGAAAAAATACAAAATATTGTATTCATTAACAAACGATAAACTTTTTGGTTTGTGTTATATTGTAAGAATTAATGTAAATTTTGTTTTTGAAAGGATGACTTTACTGCTGGGTCCCCCATCATCAGGCAAAACGACCTTACTTTTGGCGCTGGCTGGAAGATTGGACCCAAACTTGAAGGTTTGTACATGTTACATAATCTCCGCTATTTTTCTATTTATTATATTTCACATAGAAATATTTTTTTCTTGGAGCAACACATAAAAATACGTAGATATTTATAAATGGTATAAAAATAGATATTTATTTTTCTTTTTTAGAAAATTTAAAAACTATACAAATTTTATTGGTAGTATATCGATACTAACTAGTAAGAACCTAAATATTGTTCTTTAAAATTTAAAAGGTATAGTTTTATAGATTAATCTTTTATTCGTAAAATATTATGGTTAATACATTTTTTAATATTATTCTTTTTTCAGGGAAATTTAAATATTATTCTTACTTTCTGATCACAATTTTTTTTTGGATATTTTCCAGATAAGTTCATTAAATTTTTTAGTCAAATTTCAATAATAAAACAAAGGAACATACCAGTAGAACCGTGCCATAAGAGTGCTTATAAGCT